GGGGAGGGGTTTGTGCGGGGAGAAGGGTGCAACAATGAATGAATGGAATTCCAAAATCTCTGTAGATGTTCACGGAAATGAAAAATAAACAACCTAAATTAAAAAAAAAAAATGAACAAGATGAAAAACTAGAGAAAGGTATTTTGGAAGAAAAGTAGGAATAAGTTGTATGTATCACAAAACACTTTAGACACTGAAGATAATATCACATCCAGGACTAAAAATGACATCTACAGCAAATGCAAGAAAAATTTTTGATTATTTAAAAAAAATACAACTAAAATTATTTGACTACTTTAGAGTCATATTTTTTTTACTATGAAAATTTAGATGAAATGTAATTAAGGTAAAATTTTTACTCAAAACCCTCACAATACCAGATGCTCTGCTGGAGAAGGAGGGACAATCTCCTCCTATACCAGTCAGATCTGATTTGACAGTACATGCACTAAAATTAAAAAATAAAACAAAAAACCAACAAAAAACCCCTCACAATGTCACTGAAATGAGTTCTACTGGTCTTTTTAATTACCTTTACCAGGCTGTTCTTAAATTTTAAAATTAACAAACATAAATATTTAAATAATTTCTCTTAGATAAAATGAAATATTTATACAGTCTTGAAAAGGCAATGACTCTGACCTGTATTAGAAAACTAGAACAAAAGTTGTATTTTCTTAACTGAAGTTTCTATTTACTGACGATCTATATGTGTCAGGTAGTGGGTTACGTGCTTTGCACATGTAATTACATTAATCCTCACAATATTCCTACTAAGGTATCATGATCTTTATAATTTGATATAAGGTTCAAGTTAAATCACTTGCCCAAAGTTAAAGAACAAAAGACAAGGAAATTCTACAGTGTAAATTCTGATATGACTGCAAAGCCTGTTCTAAAATTTATGTTTAGGCTTTGAGACACAATTTTTCTAATCATCCAAAGTATTTTGGGCTAAAACAGAGAGAAAAAGATTCAACTGAAAGCTCTGAAAACAAGTATTTAAAAAAAGAAATGAGAACTGAATTATTTACCATCAATAGTGGAAGGCAAGAGTGTTGACACAATTTCTCCTTGTCCTTTTTGGTTTTTATATAAGAAGCACTGGAAACAATAGAGAACAGCACAGCGTAATACAAATGGCTGTCTCTCATTAACCATGGACATCAGAAGTACCACAATTGCTGGTCTGTTGCAATTTAAAAAAAAAAAGAATGAAATAAAACTTTAGAATCCCCAAAAAACATATCAATAACTAGCCATTACTGTTGACTGAAGAACATAAGCAGAATACCATTAAGCATTTTCATAGAAAGGAAACTGAAGCTCAGGACTGTAAAATGATTTGCTCCCTTAAGGAACACGGGCAAATGTGAAAGAGGTGATAACTGAACCCACGTATTTACATTTCAAAGATCATACCCTCTTGGAAAACACCAAAATTTTACCTTGTCAGATAAATTCTAACTTAAAATTACACTGCTGAAATTCTTAAAAGATTAACATGTATACAGGAGATATACTAAAAATCCAAATTAACTTCCTACTTTCTCAGAGGACTCTCCATATTTCTCTTTTCTTACCGGGGTGGGTTTGAAGGTGCATTTACAGAAGCAAAGTAGTCTTGATTTACTTGGCATCCTCGAATAATTTCTGATACAGTATTAATGGTCTGTTGAGAAAAAAAAGATTTTCGAGAAATAAGAAAGGGAAATGTGCTATAAAAAGAAGAAAATTTCTTAGATTAAATGCCAAAATCTAGACACCATAAAAGACTGCATTAATCTTGTTACACTTTTTAAAGATAAAATGTAAAGCTTTATCAGCAGGTTTCCAATTAAAACAACCCTTGACCCACCTGCATTTAATTCATCTCTGATACAAAATAACAGTCAAATGTTACCTTATTTTAATACTATCCTATTTTTTTAAAAGGGAAAAAGAAAATGAGATATTTTAACAAATTTTCTGATAGAAAGCAGACAGAGGTAGCCTATATACAAGAATATTAAAGATAACAATCCAAATGTCTTTGGAAGAGAATTATTAGCAAGAAGTGAGTCATTTTGTTCTACTGAACCAGGAGAAGTTTAAACTTTGTGGGCCAAGCATTAGAAAGGAGAAGGTGGGGTGTCAAAGCAGAGTTAAAAGTAAAAGATCAGGTTAAATGTGGTTGGTGTTAGTGCAGTTTAATCAACAGGTAGGAGTTTGCCCATCTTTCTTCCATGGAGCAGCTGGTGAATTCAAACTGTGTTCCTTTGGGATTACAGTCCAGCTTCTTTTACTAGGCCACCAGAATGTACAAAGACTACCTTTTCCCATTGCCCTACTCTACTTCTGATTTCTCTTCTAGAACACAGGACACCAGAGTTATGTTTTCTAGAGAAAATGAACAATAATAACTCCATACTTGGGCATACTTGAGACAAAGCAGAGAACTGCAGTGAGGTGTAGGCCTGAAAGCAGTAAGGCAATCCTTAGTCTAAACTATGGCACTCTCGAGTTCCTTTTTTTGACTTATCAGCAGGCAATAGATTAGAGAAGTCATCTATGGAAAAATGAAATGATCCCATAAAAACACCTGTCAATACTGATATTTGGCAGATTAAAATCAAAAGACTGCCCAGCATCTGATATGCATTCTATAAATAGACCACCAATTTACAAGCCCTTCTTGCATTTTAGTGTCTTACTAATATGTGAAAGCATGACCAAGAACGAGTGACATTTACATAAAAGACTCTGCACCAAAATCTTAAAGAGTTGTGGTTCATATCCACCAGGTGTGCTGCAGGAGAAAGGTGGGCTATCTGGTGGCTCTGAAAATTGGTTGGAGGGTCAACTATGGGTCAGTTCTAATTTGATGGCACACAACAACAAAGAGAATAAGACAATGGCCAAGTAAAATAGAGAAATAGAAAATCTAGAACAAATAGAAAGGCTTAGATTTCAGAAAGCTGAAATTAATAATAGTGTTCTAAGAGAAATATGAATAGGTATTTCTATGAACAAAAATCAGTCAGCCTGTGCTTGCTGTAGACTCGGAACCAACATTTAGCTGCCTGTCCAGGGGGTTTTCAGAGACTCAAACTTTTGCCTCTGGAGATACTGGTGGGTTTGAACCTGTCAAGGCCTTTGGGTTAGCAGGGCAACTTCCTACAGATTATGCCACTAAAGCTTCCTGATGAACGAAAAGCCAACCTAACTTAAAATGTAACTAATTAAAATATTTTACCTAAAGACAATGTTAAACTCTCTAAGAAAATAGATTTGAAGGCCAAAATAGGTCCAGGAAAATCCAAGTCTACCAAGAGGGTATTGAAAAGAGGAGAGGAAATTCTCAAGGAATAGAAAAACCTTCTTATGTATCTCCAGCTTGGAATGGCTCAGTAAATGTCAAAAACAATCAAGGTGGGGGGGGGGACGACGACCTTACTGTACGGTACATCATCATTAAATTTTTTGAAAGCCAGGAATGAAGAAAATTTCACAAAAATTTCTACAGAAAAAAAAAAAATAGAAGCCAGAATGAATTATGAGTTAGAATGTCTTTGGATTTTTTCACAACCTTAATAAAACAGTGTTTTAATGTCTGGGTGTTAGTGATTTTCAACTTTGATTCCATATTTAGCTAAACACTAAATAATGACACAGGTTTTGCTGTTGTTTTTGTTGTTAAGTGCCATCGAGTCAAGGTGACTCACAGTGACCTTATTAACAAAAGATCTCAACTCTATTTTATAACTATCATTGTTTCTCTAATGTTCATAGAGTTTCCAAAGGCATGTTGTTTAGGAAGTGGATGCCAATCCTGTTTCCAAGCCTGTCTTAATCTGGGAGCTCTACCAAACACAGTCCACCACGGGTAACCATTATGGCATTTGACACACCAGTAGCACAGTATTCAGTAACAAAGTAACTCCAGTTGTCATCACAGTACAGCAAACTTGACAGACCAGTGCTGTACCACTTAGAAGAATTTTCTTCTTAAACTTGGCTTGAGGGCCCACCCAACTTTTAAATACAAAAGCCCACCCACCAGGTCCTGTCTGACAAACAGACTTGCAGCCCATAGATGTTTGTTAGCTAAATCCAGTAAAACCAGGAGACTGATCAGCTCATGTGATTGTGAACTAAATAAAAAGAAACAAACAAAAAAACAGTTTACACTCAACTAAAACAAGGGAACCTACCCTCCAGGATCCATCTGCTTCACACCTGAGCCTCCAAATTGGAGACTTACTCAGGGCTCAACAGACTTTTAAATACAAAGGCCCACTCAACAGCTCCTGATTGACTTAAACAAGAGGTTTCCAGCCCACAGCTGATTGTTAGCAAAATCCAGTAAATCTAAATCCAAGCAGAGGAATGAAATTATCTGGCATGCAAAGGCTAATATTAAATTCTATTCCCATTTACCTGTTTTCAGGATATTAAATAAGATAATGAACAAAGTAGGCGGATAGAATTGTGTGGTACACTAGCAAAAATATTCGAGAGAGAAGTCAAAGGAAAGTCCAGGAGGAAGATAAAGGAAGTCTTGGAACAAGAGCTGAGCAGCAAAACTGGAAAACAATCAGCCATGACTGCAATGGAAGATGGAAGGCTTTTGCAACAAGGTCTAATTGGGGAAGATTGATAGGTTAAGCAGGGTATTGTATTAATAATACACTCACACACACACACACACACACTACACTACACTACACTACACTGATACACAAAAAAAAACAAGTCAAATAAAAGAATATAATTTGTAATGCAGGAAAAATGAAGAGCAATATCTAGCTATAAAATAGAGCAAAATAAGTTATAGGGTGGCAAGATTTCTTATGTAAATAAAGAACTATCTAAATATGGGAACAGTTTCAGTTTGGCATAAAAACATAACCCTGGAACTTTTAATATGGATTGTAATAAAACAATACTGAGGTGATGGGGAGAAGTAAAGTGGGAGGGTTATGTTAAAGAGGAAGAATAAAGCCTTTATCTACCAAAGTAGAAAGTATTTAAAATTGATAAACCAAGGAATAGTAAATGCTGTTTAGAGATGGTCTAATTTACCTCAGTCAGGATATCAGCAGGAACCCCAGTAGCCATCAAGATAGTGCAGAGCTGCTGCAATAAACCACACTGGAACATAGCCTTCTGGCAGCTACTGGTAGCACCAGGAGGGTTGGTGGGAGCAACCAGCACACGAACAAGCTGCAAAAGAAAAAGGAGGAGAAAGGTTTTTAAAGATTTGAAAATGTTCAAGGCAGATATGATCTATGTGAAAAAGGAAATGTGTGTGAATGATTCCCTCACTGCCCAGTCTGATCTACCTGTTCCTTCCCTGGTGGTCCATAACAAGTTTTGCTACAGTATGTTTTACATTAGGCTGCGTGTTTGAGTTCTTGTCTCCTCTGGGTAACTGTGAACTCCCAGAAAGCAGGCCCTGCCTGGAACATTTTTGTTTCGCAAATAGAAAGCACAATATTTTATGTCTCAAACAATAGGATGCACATTCAATAAATGACCAAATAAAGATGTCAGAGGATAACAAACTTCTTATCGAAGTAAAAATAAATTACCCAAAAAGAATCGCCTGAAGTATGAAAAATGCTCTCTAAATGAGAAATATGTAAAGAGATGTCATACTAGCTTGGAGATATCCAATAGACTGTTAGTGCACTGAGCAAGGAATTACGTTCCTTGTTGTTAAACAAACAAATAAAATCACTGCTGTTGACCCAGCAATCATAATGACCCATTCGTGGTGGAGTTATATACCACTGACTCACAGCTCAGAGTATAAACTGCACAGAAGGAGAATACATCTTTTTACTGTAGAGCCTCTAGTGGATTTGAACCCGTTGAGAAACCTTCTTTGGGTTAGCAGTGCATTCCCTATAGTCTACACCACCTGAGCTCCATCACAGTCAAGCTTTTTTTTTTTAAAAAAAAAAATTATTATTAAATTTTATTAGTTTTAATGAACATTTACAGAGATTTTGGGTTCTCATTCATTCATTGTTGCACTATTTTCTCTACCCGCTTCCCCAGTTCGTTCTTCTCCCCCCCATGTCTGTTTTAATTGTCCAATTGCCACAGTGCTTGTCAAAGTCAGTTCTGATTAATCTCCTTTGTCAGCGTGCCCTTTGCCATTCCTTATCACTCCTCCCTGAGAGAGACTTCACCCTGATTCATAAGGAAAAAGGGATGGCGTATTCTCTTAGCTACTTCCTGCTGAAAAGGGACGCTGTGGGTTTCAGGGTGAGGATCTTCTCTCACTACTCTAAAGGGCCCCTTTGGCAGTAGGAAACACATAGACTATTATGTTCCAGGACTTAAGAAGCATAAATGACATAGCTGAGCCTCTACATCTTGTGGTTCCTAACCTGTACACTATAACAGACAAAGTGCTAGTCTATAGGCCTTTTATTGTAAGAACCACCTTCCCTCTGTAACTTGATTTGTGCCACTACTAGAACCTCTACTTGGAATATTATTGCTTGTTAATTTTTAACTCATGTACTTTTAACTTGTTAGTTAAATTTGTGTCTTCTAGGTTGCAACACCTCCATGATACATCTTCAAGGATATGAACATGTACGGCTAAGCAGAATTAATAACAGTGCATCTAAATTCCAAAATCAATCTCCATAACAGTCAAGCTTTTTAAGATTCGCTGGCATTATCTATCAAAAAAATAGCATAAGAGAGGATCCTTCAAAAAAAAAAAAAAAAAAGAGAGGATCCTTCACAGATAATGGACAGTCTGAAAAAAATGTAAATGTTGATGCCTCAAAACTTTTCAAAAAGATGTTTCCCCTAAATTTAACCAACAAAATGAGAATTAAAAAAAATTCCAACCAAAATTATAATTATGAATAATACCAATTATAATGTATGCCTCAAAATAGGAAAACAATTATGTATTTTTAATTAGATGCATTAAGGAAAACTTAAAATTAAGTAACTTAAATGAAAACTCTACGGAAAAAGCACAAACAAACAAACCCAAACCATTGCCAGTGAGTTGATTCTAACTCCAACTCTACTGGACAGAGTAGAACTGCCCCTGGTTTATTTATAAAGTCTGTGTACATTGTTTTTCACCTCAGATGTTTCCCATCCCCCCTAAAATTTTGCGACCCTATGATTAATCACACTCCCACACTCTGTCCCCCACTCCTTGTCTACCCTCACTCCTCTCTATGGGGCTTTGAAGGCAATGACTGACCTTTACGAAAGCAGATGGAATAAGGTGAGAGGCAGAAGATAGTTATTGATTTTAAAGTCATGAATGGATCAACTATTCAATCTTAGAGTTAGAAAACAGGTGAAATTAAACTCAGTTCCTTTTAAATCTTGTATAAAAAGCTTTAGCAAACTTTCTCATGGCCATTGCATCATAACCAACTCATAGGATGCTTCACTGGGTTTCTGAGACTGTAAACAGTATAGGAGGAGACTGCTCATGTCTTTCCCATCCAGCCACTGGTGGATGAGACCTGCTAGAGAGGTGTGGCCGATGGGTTAACAGCGATGCTCTCTACGGACTCACTACCAGGTCTTCTGTCTTACACTTGATCCTAGCCAAAAGGCCGAGAAGCGATTGTCTTAGTAAATCAAACAGAAGCAATCTGTTTTTTCAATTTTTATAGTAAATAATACTCATTACATAACTAGAATATAAAATATTTCTTTTTATATGCAGTTTTCTATTCTAATTTTTGCAGAAGAAGAGATTTTAAAAAAGTACTTCACATAGTGGTAGCTTCTTTA